GCTGGCTCCTACAGCAGAAGGAGCACTGAGCTGGGAGTCAGGACCTGGGTTCCAGTCCTAGCTCAGGCACAGACTAATAGTGCGGCTCTGAATAAGTCACCTCTACTCTTTGTGCTGTTTATTCTATAAAGTATAGTGTTGGACAGATGATATCTTGGTCTATTTTAGCTCTGATATTTTGACTTTAATATCTAAATAAATAAGCATTATCACACTGTCATGCACACAAGGGGGCCGATCACCCAGAAAACTAGAGGTCAAACTAAACACTCTTGTGGGATTTTTTTTCTCCTAAAGATTTTATTTGAGAGAGAGAGTGTGAACATACAAGCGGGGTGGATGGGGGGGGGGACAGAGGGAGAGGGAGAAGCAGACTCCCTGCTGAGCAATGAGCCCAACACAGGTGATCCCAGGACGCTGGGATCATGACCGGAGCTGAAGGCAGACACTTAACCGACTGAGCCACCCAGGCGTCCCTCTTGAAGGATTCTTTTACTTTCCAGGTGTACAATTACACAATTGCACAAATGGAAAACAAACATGGATAAAGTACCAAAAGAATAGCTCCAGGGGATTGCTCAAAGGAAGTGAAACTCTCTTTACCTGCTTAGGCCACACTGCCCTCCAAGGTGAGCCTCAGCCCCGACAGAGCACTATGTTCTGGTGAATAATACCATCAGCAAAAGTGAAACAAATGAAACACCTCTTACAGATCCAATCTTATTTTCCCTACAAATAAAACAGGACTATAATACTTTAAGTTCTTTCTAGTATTATACCTTTTCAAATTTCAAAACAATCAGGTAATTTTTTTTTAACTACTAGTAAAAGCTGCTATGCATTTATTACTATACTTTCATCAGTTATACCAGGTGTTGGTCAGATCTGGCCCACGGCCCTGTTTTTATACAGCCCTTGGACTAAGATAGGTTCTATGTTTTTAAGTGGTTAAAATATTTTTAAAAATACATTTTGTAACAAATGAAAATGATACGAAATTCAAATTTCCATGCCTATAAACAAAGTTTTA